TATGAGGCACCTGTGGCTCTGTGGGTGGGTTAACTGATTCCATTTCTTTTACTTCTGTTATGATTCCTTGGGAATGTTCTTTTAAAATTACTTGTTTCGTGGTGGCACCTGTGACTCAGTGGGTAGGGCGCTGGCCACATACACCGAGGGTGGCAGGTTCGAACCTGCCTCCAGCCAAACTGCATCAAAAAATAGCAGGGTTTTGTTGTGGGCACCTGTAGTCCCAGCTACTTGAAAGGCTGAGGCAAGAGAATCTCCTAAATCCAGGAGTTGGAAGTTGCTGTGAGCTGTGACGCCACTGCACTCTACTGAGGGTGACAAAGTGAGACTCTGTCTCAAAAAAAAAATTCATTGGTTCTTTGTGGTATATTAATTTACTATATATTTGTCAGTCTTTTTTTTGCAGTTTTTGGCTGGGGCTAGGTTTGAACCCGCCACCTCTGGCAGATGGGGCTGGCGCCTTACTCCATTGAGCCACAGGAGCTGCCCCTTATTTGTCAGTCTTTTTCTAGGCTATTTCATTTATTTGTTCTTTTTTTATACTGTATATCAATACTACATCATCTTAATTATGGCAGCTTTATAATAAGTGGATTTTTAATTTTATTTATTTATTTATTTATTTTAAGATGGACTCTCACTTTGTCACCCTTAGTAGAGTGTCATGGTGTTAGAGCTCACAGCAACCTCAAACTCCCCGGCTCAAGCTATTCTCTTGTCTCAGGCTCCTGAGTAGCTAGAACTACAGGTGCCCGGCTATTTTTTTTTTTTTTTAGAGATGGTGTCTTGTTGGGGCTCAGGCTGATCTCCAACCTGTGAGCTCAGGCAATCCACCTGCCTTGGCCTCCCTGCTAGGATTACAGCCGTAAGCCTCGGCTAGCCTCTATAATAAGTGTTTTAATCGGATAGTATAACTCCTTCAACACTATTCTTCTTCAGATTTTCCCAGCTATTTTCAGTCCTTTTCTTATACAAATTTTAAAGAGAATCTGTCAATTTCTATCTATAGAAAGATCTGCTATTCTATCAAATGTTTTTCCTGTATCTTTGAGGTTTTTTTTCTTGTGATAACCAAGCCCCTTACCCTTGAAAAATAAACTTCTTTTGAGTCCACTAGTCCCAGCCTCCTCAAGGGTGGGGAGGAAAATTCCAAAAAGAGGCTACTCCCCCCACCCCCCACCCCCGAACTATGTAACTTCCCCCCACAAAAGCTAACCACAATGTTCAGCTTTTGTTCCTTTGCTGGCTTTCTGTGACGCAGAAAATGGGGTATATAAACCCATTTGGTCTGTCATTCGTGGTCGTTGCTTCCTAAGGCAGCAACCCCTCTGCACAGATGGAATAAATTACTATTGAACCTTGCACCAAGTGGGGTCTGAGTTTTTTTCTCAGCTGTGTGAGTCACTACATTCTCACCTAGTCTATTTAGTAGGTTAATTACATCAGTTGTTTTGTAAATATACCAATTTGCATTTGTTGGATGAACTCCATCTGGTCATGATATATTGTCTTCCTTTTAGGATTGGATTTTATTTGCTAATGATTTGTTCAAGACTTTTTCATCTGTGTTCTGTATTTTCTTTGTAATCTCCTTGTCAAGTTTTGGTATCAGGGTTAGTTGAGACTCATAAAGTGAGCCAGGAGATGTTCCCTTCTTTTTCATTTTATAGAATAGTTTGTGCTAAAAAGTGGTATTAGGCTGGGTGTGATGGCTCATGCCTGTAATCCTAGCACTCTGGGAAGCCGAGGTGGGTTCAAGACCAGCCTGAGCAAGAGTGAGACCCTGTCTCTTAAAAAAAAAGAAGTGGTATTATTCTTTCATTAAGTGTTTAGAGGAATTCACTGTCTGGTCCTGGAATTTTCTTTTTGAGAAGTTTTAAGTTCCAGTTTTAATTTCTTTTAAATATAAAACTATCTTAATTTTCTTTTCTTTTTGTGTCTCTGTTGGTAAGCTACATTTTTAAATTTCAGGCTAGTATGAGGATACACATGATTAGGTAATATTATTTCTGTTTGTAAGGTAAAGTCCAAAGTCTGAGTTGTAGAGTTGTTGCTGAGTCCGGTACCCAGGAAGCGTGCCTTAAATGCCTATACATTGTACCAAATAAATGGGAATTTGCCGAGCCCCCACCCCGCCTTCCTCCTTGAATTTAATTGTGTTTTTCTCTCCTGCAGGGCCTGTAGTTGTTCATCTATTAGTGTTATACCCAAAGCAAGTGGAATAGAGAAATGCCAGCACACTGAGTCCAAATTAAGCAAGGGTCCTTTATTGATCGGCCAGCCAGGAGCAGGCTTATGATGCTTCAAAGTCTCTCAACTCCTAGAAGCAGAGGTGGGACACTTTTATAAGGGTCTTTCCGTAGGGGAGGGGGAATCCTTGATGCAAACCGAATTTGACAAGAGCCAACCCCTGGTGAGGGCAGTCCTTACAAGGGGAAACTGGGCTTTTGCAGTTATTACTGAACTCTTTCAGCTGAGTTTCCTGTCTTAAAGGGGGAGTGTTGAAAGCCCCAAGCAAGATGGAGTTGGGGCATAACACTAGTTTCAGATTAGTACTGAGTACGTGGGATACTTGCTTTTCCATTCTTGAGATACTTTACTCGGGAGAATGTTCTCTAAATCCATCCACGTAAATTCAGAAAATGCAAAGTCTCCATCTTTTTCTACGACTGTATTTTACTCATGTTTTTAAAGACTCAACTTTTGCTTTTATTGATTTTCATTCTTCTTTTGTTTTCTATTTTTACTGATTGTTGCTCTTAAAGTTTTCCTTCCTCACTCCTTCCTTATTTTATATTTGGGTTCAGTTTTTTATTTTTACTTAGTAGATTAAATTATGCTCTTAACTTTTGATTTTATAATAATTAATAAATTTAAAGCTATAAATATTTCTCTTTGCACTATTTTAGCTGCATCCCATTAGCTTTGATATGTTATGTTTTTATTATTCAGAGACAAATATTTTCTAATGTCTCTTGATTTCTTTTGTGATGCATGATTATTTGTAAGTATATTGTTTAACTTCTAAACATTTGGAGGTATTTTAATTATATTTTTTGGTTTTGATTTCTATTTTTATTCCATTATGGTCTAAGAGACTATTTTCCTGAGTAGCTGGGACTACAGGCGCCCACCACAATGCCCAGCTATTTTTTTGTATGCGGTAAATCCTGTTGAAGTTTGGCTGGGGCTGGGTTTGAACCTGCCACCCTCAGTATATGGGGCGGGTGCCCTACCCACTGAGCCACAGGCACCACCCTCATTTCAGGCTTTTAAAGGCATGTCTCCTTTAGTTTTGCTGTTAGTCCTGGGCTATAACCCTTACCCCGAAGGCATACACCTTTGGGGTTCCAAAGTAAAGCATGAGGTATTTAAGAAGTCCCTTGGTGAAATCTGAATGTCAAACTCTATTGAAATCTCCATTCAGCTTTTAAGCTCCCGCTAAATATTTCCCTCTGTGCTCCTTGGAGTCTTGTACCATTTAGGAGTCACCCAAGGATTTGAGAGGAATTTCTATACAGATTTTGAGACCCCTATTTGGCCTTCACTGCTCCTGGATTTTCCCTCTCAGTTTGGAACCACTCTGGAAGCCCCTCACACTCTGACCTTTATGTTATCAGTCCGTTAAGACTACTGCTTTCTGGCCAGTGCCTGTCACTCAAGTGGCTAGGCTGCCAGCCACAAACACTGAGCTGGTGGTTCGAATTCAGCCCAGGCCTGCCAAACACTACAACTACAACCAAAAAATAGCCAGACGTGGCGGGTGCCTGTAGTCCCAGCTCCTTGGGAGGCTGAGGCAAGAGAATGGCTTAAGCCCAAGATTTTGAAGTTGCTGTGAGCTGTGATGCCACAGCACTCTAGCCAGGGTGACAGCTTTAGACGCTGTCTCAGAAAAAAAAAAAAAAAGACTACAGCTTTCTGCTTTAGATCTGTTTGCCTCTGTGCAAGTTTAGAATTGCTATTGATGATAGCATTGGTCTGACATAGCTATTAATACTTTGCAATCATTGGAACAGGTATTAAAACTATTTTTTTAGGGCTCAGTGCCTGTAGCTCAGTGAGTAGTGTGCCAGCCGCATACACTAAATCTGGTGGGTTCAAGCCTGGCCTGGGCCTGCTAAAACAACAATGACAACTGCAATCAAAAAAGTAGCGGGGCGTTGTTGCGGGCCCCCGTAGTCCCAGCTACTTGGGAGGCCGAGGCGAGAGAATCACTTAAGCCCAGGAGTTTGAGGTTGCTGTGAGCTGTGATGCCATGGAACCGAGTGCTACCTAGTGAGGCTTTGTCTCAAAAAAAAAAAAAAAAAGGTAAAACGGTATTAAAATTGTAATAATATATATACCCATAACAAAAGGCGAATACTGTACGCTGAGCACCTCTTGTAATTGCATAATTCAAACGTGGCTTGAGTATTACAAATTTGAATACAGATTTTTCTAACCCAGACCCTCCTTCCCCAGTGCCTGAGGGAGGACTGTAGTGAGGGCCACCTGGCCTGTCTGGGAGCACGGCTAGGGCTCTCCCAGGTGGCCGGCTCCAGAAGGAAAAGCAGGGACAGGGCCCTAGAGACCCCTCGAGGGCAAGCCCACCACCGCCAGTATTCCTGAGGCCAGAAGCCTGAGCTTTTCCCGCAGACAGATGTGGGCCAGAGCCCAACCAACTCCACCTGGCGACGTAGACTGACCGACAGGTTAATTCCCGGTTCCTGGGCGCCGCCCTCCCTGTACTCCAGCACACTCTACCCAGGCAGCGGCCCTGCACCGGGCCCCACACCGAAGTACACCGCGCTCGGTTCTCTTGCCGCAGCAAGCAGCCTGGCAGCCGAGGCGTGTTTCCCAAAGGATAAATCCGCGACCGTCCAGGTGGGAACTCCAGGGAATTCCAAAACCAGTTGCCTGCTGGGAAATGGAGCTGTACGCATGCGCGGCGCAAGAGCTGTTGGGAGGCGTCGTTCGCATCGGTTCCGCGCGTGCGCACTTTCCCGTGGGGACCGCCGGAATGCTCTTTGTGGCGCTTGCTGTACTTTTGTGGGAGGCCGGTCCGCTCACTCGTGGGTCGTTCTGAGCGTCGGCCGATCTTTTCCTTCTGTCCCTGGCCCTGTCTGCTAGCCGAGCTCCCTTCTTGCTGGCTCTGGCCGGCGGACCTGAGGCCTAGCCTCGGCTCCCGAGCTCGGGTTCTCCCGAGGTCGTGTGTGACAGCGTGCGATGATTCCAGGGGTGAGCCCCGTGTGGGGTGCGGGTGTATCAGCCGACGGCTGTTATGGGGTCGAGCCCAGTGTGGGGTGCAAGGTGTTTGCAGAGCCCGCCTGAGCCCGACCGCAGCCGGGGCGTGGGGAGGGGGCTCCGTGCGTGCGGTCGTGCAGCCGTGAGCGCGTGGCGACGCGCCAGGCTCCCCTGCAGGCGGCTGTCCCTGAGCCCCGGGAGCAGGGCTCGCTCCTCTGGGCCTGACCTGGGGACCAGAAGGCTACCGAGCTGCCGCTCCTCGTGGGGGACGCTGGCGAGGGGGCCATGGAGACGTCTGCCCGGAAGCCGGCGGAGACAGGTACAGCTTCGCTCTTTTTGTCAGTGGGTCTGTGAACTTGCACTTGAGGACGCTGACGCTCAGGGAGTTCAAGCTAGTGTCCAGACCCACGCTGCAGATCAGGCCTCCTGCTTCCTCACTGTGAGCAGCCACTTGTTCCCATTCAAACATGCTTGGTGGGAAGAAAGGAATGGCAGAGTTTTTTTTCCTTAATTGAAGCGTCTCAAACACGTAATCAGTCCCCTGAGGCGTCTCAGTTTGTGCTGGCTGTAGAGGCTTGTGCCCCACCACCTGGCTAGACAGTTTCTGTCTCTCTGATTCCCACGCTTGCTTTAGCTCAGCCTTGAGCCTAGTGGTTGTGGGCAGAACAGCCCCCCTTAACTCATTTTTTTCTTTCCCCAGCTCTTCTCTCTCAGAATCCAGCTCTTTCTCTCAAAGAGAATCCAGGGGATATATCAAGGAGGAGTCATCTGGAAGCCAGGTCCGAGGTGAGTGGCTGTCTTTTCTCCTCCTTTATGAAGAGTGATAGCATGTTCCTTCCCCAGCCCTGGATCTGCAGTCGTCCTCAGACCTTCACCTGGGGATCTGCCCTGCAGGCCTCAGCAAGCTCTGGGCAGCAGGGACAGCCTCAGTCAAGTTGCCCCAGTTGTGCCCCGGAGATAAACTCTCTTGAATGTCCCTTCCAGTCTGGTTCAGTGGGTCAGTTGCCAGAGCTGTATGCCCAGCACTGTGCTGGGAGCTCTGAGAATTGTTTTTAGAGGAGCCTAAGCAAGTGAGTGACAGCTCACTTGAGGTCAATTTGCTTATCTCCACATGCTGGTCAGGGGCTGATGCACATCCACGGAAGGTTTGCACTGGTTGGTCCTTGTTTGGGGGGGTTTACTCAGATAGATTCAGGCAGGGGGCATGTGGAACAGCTGAGCCAAGATTGCACTGCAGCCCTGAGGTAAGAGTGAAGCATCCCTGTGAGCTGTCCCTGTACCTGGCCTTGATGTAGGGCCATCATGGAGAGATCCGGAAGTTTAGAAAATCTGGGGGTGCAGCAGAGAACTGGCCCCAGGGCCACTTCTGCAGCTAAGTGGGGCCCCTCTTACTGATTTTGGACTTTGCTCCTAATTTTGTTTTTCTACCTTAACTACCCCACCGGTATTTAGAAGGGTACATTTGACAAGGAGAGTACGGGGTAGTGAAAGGTCTGGAGGGTTGAGAGTTCTTTGATTTTGCTTTTTGGCTTTCTTGGGATTTGTGATTGTCAGTCTCTCGCTCGAAAAAGGTGAGGGTGGACGATACACAGAGAAAGCTATGTGTTAGAATGCTCCGTAGTTCTGTGAAACACTCAAGACACGGCAGACCAATGCAATGCACGATCCTTGATTGGAGCATAGGTCCAAAAAAAGATTAATAAAAAGCAGTTTGGGACAATTGAGAAGATTCGAAAATGGGTTGTTATGTGAGATAATACTGTATCATAGTAAATTTATTTGGTGTGGTGATGGTCCTGTGATAATCTAAGAGGATACCTGTGGGAGACAGAAGCTGAAGGACTGAGGGAGAATGTCATGATTCTCAACTTACCTTCAGATAAGTGAAGGTGAAGGTATGCGTGTGAATGTGTGTGTGCGTGTGTGTGTCTATGTGTGCAGCTACCTCGGGGTGGTAGCACCCTTCTTGTGCATGTGTGTTATTCCTAAAATGCCAGCTTGTTAGATCTTTGTAGAACAAGTCTGGTGTCCCAAGCACTCCTCACCTGAGGCTTTCTCTCCCAACAGTCTCACCCATGTTCATGGTTTAGGTTTTCTGGTCTCTTGGCACTTCTCACATGGTCCAATATGGCTTCTCTGGTGGTTTCATGATCACATCAGCATTTGATTCCCACGCACACCCCCTGGGAATTTTGTTCTTTTTTCCTGCAAAATGGAGACACATTGGACGTGGGCTTCTTCCAGGGGGCTAGAGATACCCCAAAGGGCCTGCTCAGACCCTGCCCTACTCTTGCTGATTGATGCCTCATCTCCCCACCCCGCACCACATTCAGATGGCTCTGGAGCTTTATTGCAGCCCATTTTCTCCTTCCCGTGGCCAGTGCAGCCACCGTCCTCCTTTGTGCCTGTGTGCCTCAGTTAGGGGCATGATCTCAGCATCCATCCTCATCTCACCACCTTCTCATCTTCCTGAAATCCAGTGCTTTTTGGAGACAGCTTTATTGAGATATTAATTATATACAGCACAGTTCTCTGATATTAAGTTTACAACTTGATGAGTTTTGGCAAATGTACAGAGGTGTGTGACCCGTGGCACCATTGTGATATGGAACATTAACTTCCATCTCCCCAAATCTCCTTGGGCCACTCTGGATGCAGCCCTCTCCCCTCAACCCTTGCCAACCATTATAATTTTGCCTTTTTAAGAATTTTGTATGGAATTATATGCCCTGTGGTCTTCTGTCTCTGACCTATTTCACACAGCATGTGATTTTGAGTTAGTCCATGCTGTTGTGTGAATCAGTAGTTTGGTCCTTTTTGTTGCTGAGTAATATTCGATTTGTATTAGTCTGCTGTGGCTGCCATGACAAAGCGCCACAAACTGGGGGACTGACACACCAGAGATTCTGTTTCTCTCAGTTCAGAGGCTAGAAGTCTCTGAGATCAAGGTGTTAGCAGGAGTGATCTCCTCTCCAGCCTCTCTCCTGGGCTTGAAGGCAGCCCCTTTCTCTAAACATCTGCACCTGGTCTTTCTTACCTTCATACCTGTCTACGTCCAAATTCCCTCTTATGAGGCCACCAGTTATATTGGAGTAGGGTACACTGCAGTGAATTTATTTTAACTTAACTACCTCTCCAAACACAGTGACATTCTGAGCTACTGGGTGTTGGACTTCAACATGGGAACTAGGGGGAGGGCAGACAATTAAGCCCATAACTCTACTGGATGGATATTACACAATATGCCTATCTGCTCCCCAGCGACGGACATTTAGGTCGTTAGCAGGTTTGGGCTGTTACAAGTAACATGCTATAGATGTTTAAGTACAAATATGACCATGTGTTTTAATTTCTTTTGAATAAATACTTAGGTGTGAAATGGCTGAGCCAAATGGTAAATATATATTGAATTGTCAATTTTATGTATCTTTTCAAAGAACCATTGTTTGTAGCTGGGCATTGTGACTCAGTCCTGTAATCCTAGCACTTTGGGAGGCTGAGGCAGGGGGATTGCTTAAACCCAGGAGTTTGAGGTTCCTGTGAGCTATGATGATGCCATGACACTCTCACCTGGGCAACAGTGAGCTCGAAAAGAAACATCTTTTAGTTTCATTGGTTTTCTCTATTTTTTTTTCTGTTTTCAATTTCATAGGTTTCTTCCTTTACTTTGGTTTCTTTCTTTCTTTCTTTTTTTTTTTTTTTTTTTTTT